AATGGTGCATTTTAATGATGTCAGAGCGAGTAAAAGAGGCCTTTGGTCGAATTAGGTCATCCAATGAGCGATGTTTTTGCAGACTGTGCTGACTGCAAAACCGTAGACTTGCACGAAAATGTTACATATTATGATTTCATGTGTTAAAAAATAACAATAAGACAGTACTAAATACATTTTACTTATAAGTGCAACTGAGATTTTTGGTTCAGTGATGATAAAAGCTCGCATCAGGAATAACAGAAACACCAAATACAAGTTAAAATGTGACGAATAAGCTTACAAGTTTTGTTTTTTATCATTTTAGAAATTTTATAATCAATTTAAATATAATGAGATAATTTGTTAATGACTATTTATAAATTGGTATACATTAATAGAAATGGACAATCAATGCGCAAGCCAACTATTTATTCATACGTACAATACAATTTATGCATTTAAACATGTAACGTACAATCATAATACATACATGCAATATTTGTATCAATTACTCTCTTGGCAAGGAAGCTCTTGACTCCCTAGGCTGTCATTAGGGGGGTATGGGTAAATTCCTGATTTCTTTATTAATACAACTAAGCTTTGTCCTTGAATCCAGCTGACTTTTATAGACAGAAGTTTCAATTACCGAAAGTATGACTTATCTTGGGGTATTATGAGTCGTGCTCTTGGGGTTTTAAGCCTGTGAGTCCTGTGTGTAAAGTGCACTGTCTGCCGTAACCCATGCCGTTTATTTAATTAGTTATTCGCGTTTGTCAAGTTATTGTTGTATTTGAACATGTAAGGTGTACGTTTTTTCATTGACTTTGATTTCGATTCATTGCTTATTTACTGTCTGGGTCTGAAAAAACGATCGGATTCAGGAGGTTGGTCAGTGTATAATCTGACCATTTATGACTCGATTTTGTCTTATTTTTTTTACCGTGAAATGATGTAAGGGTTAAAGTTACGTCTTAATTAATACTCTGCTTAGTTTTAAATAGTGTTAAACTATACCTTTTTATTTTACGAAATATAGCTTTATTTCGGTTGATCATGAATGTTCAGCGAAAAGAGAAATAATGCCACGCATGACTCGTAACAATTAAAACCTTAGATTTTGTATTAAGATTACCGTTGAATTATGGAGAAATTAGATAAGCGTTTTTGAGTTTGTCTTAAGCGCTATTTATTTACCGTAGCAATTCAAGCTGTTCTGTTTATTCACTAATTCTGATGACAGTTGTGAGTGCTTTTACATGAGATCGCTCATACCCTATGAATTCATGGGCTCGGTAACGCGTAAAAGTAATTTTTTAAGATGCGTAGTGGTCGCATCTTGCAACTTATTTGCGTAATGCTGAATGGAATAATTAATAATAAGTAATGTACAACAGCTAAGTGTAATTAATGTCTTAATTCGATTTATACATTTTTTTAATCCACTAGCTCCCTCATGTGATTAGACATTAAGACCCTTTTGAGAATTGTCCAGTACAATTTCAGAGCCTTGCAATATGTGACAGCTTTGAGAATTCAATTCATGTATGTTCAGAGTTTATGAAGATCCACTGAAAGCCACTGACTAAATAAAACATCTTAAAATCATAGCTTGAGACAAAGTTTAAGTTCAAGAAAATTAATAATATTTAGCAGCCATAAAGAGAAAAAAGAGGTAAAACAAAAGACTGGCTCAAATAATGCATGATTAAGCCTTTGAACTTGTTGTATAAACCTGTGGATTACCCCAAATCACTTAGAGCTGTACAATAAAAAGCATTAGAGTGAAAGAACTAAGTATACACAGATAATTAAATGTTACCATAAAGTTGTTGCTCGTAACCATTTAAAAGCAACATACAAGAGAACCCAGTATGTGCATATTAGATTATTGTCGTTGACTATGAGAAAAATTTTTTTTTTTATCTAAGTACTTAGAAAAAATGCTTGTCGAAACAAGATCAGCATTGCTGATACAAATGAATGCCTATGGGTATCATGAAATTTTGGAATACGTTTTTCATAGCTATGACTTCAGAATATGTGGCGCTGTGGGGACACGAGATAAAAGCGTATTAAGACAATACAGCGATACTTACGTCAAATCTGAAAGAGTATCAAAAATGGTTCATTAAACTGTTACTGCGATTATTAAAGCAATTCTAACCGTTAAGCCAACGAAATATCAATTTTGAAAAAAGCAAATAAAAGGTACAATGGCATACCGTAGGCAACAGTTAGTTAGAAAATTACTTTTAAATATTTATGCGAGAGAGAACAACATAATAACTACCAACGCAGACAAAATTAAACAATTTTGTGAATTTATGTTTTATTATTAGGAATTTAATTTGAAAACATGTAAGAAACTCCTTTTAAATTTCTTAAAAAACCAAACAAGATTTAAAAGTAAAATGCAACAAGAGCAAGCAGTTAAACCGATTGATAATCCACTTTACGGTGAGCTGGTACTTAAAACTTTTAATTTGGAAAAATTATTTATAGTGAGAGCGGACACTATAAAAAATAATGTAGGAACTATGTAAAGTTAAAAAGTACTACAAAAAGACAGTCCAAGTAAATATGCTTAATATTCTTGAAAAAAGCCAAAACTTTATTGGGTTTATGGAACATGAAACACTAGAATTGTTTATTTTTTGACTTTTAAACCTTTTCTGCTTTCGTGACCTGAAGATACGAAGGTCACGAAATGAGCAGAAATGTTTGTTAATGCTCGAAAATTTAAATGCGCATTTAAATTTTCTCCCTGGATAATAATGCTCCAGTTCCGAGAAATCTCCTTTATTTCTTTATATGGGACTGGCAAGAGATTAACAACTAAAAATCTACAATTAAGTAATGATAATTTGTATTTAAAAAAATAATATACAAAATGTAAGTTGACCAAGAGTTCGCTACGAGGAAACACGAATCTCAGTACGTGGTATAAAGGACGAAACTCGAGACGACGATGTAGCAAGTCGTTCGAGAAGACCTTGGACTTAATCATAAGCAACAAAGACTTTAAAGGGGCTCAGCTCGAGACGACGATGAAGCTAGTCGAACGAGCTGGCCTCCAAGAATCAGGCTGATCCTGTTATCCTTTTAATTCGTTAACAAATCACCTCTACTCAGAGAAGACGTGCGCTATACCTAAGGCGACTAGTTAGCGACGATAAGAAGGCTGCCCTGATCCTGTCACAATGGTTGCGAGTTTAGCCATAGAAAAGCTGCAGTGACTTTAAATATCAAGCTCGACTACGCGGGAGCGACTTGATACTTGAAAGGTCCGCGTGCTAGTAGAAGGAGCTCAGCCAAATACGCGAGCTCGCCAGCAAAGATACTCGGCGCTCGAGGCCGGAGAGGGAGAGGAAGCACCCACACCTGCGGGTATTGTACTAATTACCCGAGTCAACGACCAAGTGTGTGTGCTCCCACTACTCCAGGCTCCCATATCCTCGCGCCTACATTAGAACGCGTTAACTACACTGATCCCGACAGCCTTCTCTCACAATATTCACTCTTAAGTGAACATATTGCCTGCCCTGACGAATTCAGCGTCAAAAAAGAAAAAATTAATTGATAAGATAGGAAAGCCTAGTGACGAGTAGAAAATATTTCCTAGGCTACTAACGCTAAGAGTAGCAGTACAAAAAATTAAATAAGCAATATTGAGCTATACTTATACAATGCAAGATTTCTTTTCTTGTATTAAAATTGATATACATATATCATAACAAAATTTAAGCAGATCAAGCTGCGTTTAAAATGTAAAGCTGCAAAAAAAAATATGTAAGTAAAACGCAGTATCTAGCCTATCGCGAAATCTACCGAATGTCTTGGTCTTTATACAATTCAATGTGTTTTATTGCTCACTCTGCCTTGCGAGCGCGTTTTGATCTGATTGTGAATCGTTAAGAGTTCTGGCTCGGTTGGCAACTTAACCAGTTTCACCACTGTTTGTTTGAAGGTTGAACTGGCAGTTCTGACAGTGACCGTCCTCACTAGCCCGTCTGTGCCTGGATGTGTTTCGACTATCAGTCCAAGACGCCACTGGGTAGGTGGGGTGAGCTCATCTGTCAAGAGCACAACGTCGCCTGTTGTCGAATTGGGGCAAACATTCAACCATTTGTTGCGACGTTGCATTTGATGGAGCACCTCCTTCTGCCATCGCCACCAGAAGGAGTTGCGCAGGTTGGTCAACAGTCTCCAGCGGTTGTTGAAGGAGATGGGCTGACTTTCCTCATTAAACGGCTCCGGATGGGCCAGCAGAAAAGTTCCCATCAAAAAATGAGCCGGAGTGAGTGCCACGGCGTCAGTGGGGTTGACGCTCAACGGACACAGAGGCCGAGAGTTGAGGCAGGCCTCGACCTTTGCAGCCAATGTGGACAGCTCTTCAAAAATGAGGGTGAGATCGCCAACTACTCGGCGGAAGTGGTGCTTAAAGCTGCGCACCGCTGCTTCCCATAGCCCTCCGAAGTGTGGAGCCCGTGGTGGAATAAATGACCACTCCGTACCTCGGGCTGCTAGAGCCAGCGTAACACTGTCCATGAATGGCAAGGCTTTGGCGAAAAGCGCTTGCAGTTCCCTTGCAGCGCTTGTAAAGGTGGTGGCGTTATCCGAATACAGTTTTTGACAAACTCCTCGACGTGAACAAAATCGATCGAACGCTGCAATAAAACAACTCGTTGACAGATCAGAGGCTACTTTAATATGAATCGCTTTTGTGAAAAAACAAATAAATATGACTATATAGCCTTTAGTTGACTTAGCGCCTCTGCCTCGGGAAAAAAGCACTGGAAAAGGGCCTGCGTAGTCCAGTCCAGTGACGGTAAAGGCTCGTGTTGGAGTAGTTCTCTGGGCTGGCAGAGAACCCATCAGCTGTTTTGGACTTCGCCGACTATAGCGTGTGCATTGTATGCATCGTCTAAAGACTCCTGTAGCTACTGCGTGTCCGCGTGTGATCCAAAGAGATCTATATATGTGATATAGCATCAATTGCACCCCTCCGTGCAATGTGATCACCAAAGCTTGTGCTCAGCAAGATCAGCCGTTGAGACACCTCTTGAAGCGCAATCAGCAGCGTTGTCTGCAGATCTGACGTGTCTCCAAGTCGCTGTTGGTAAGCTTGTAATTATCTCGCTAGTACGATTGGCAATGAAGGTTTGCCACTTGGATGGGTGTCCTTTCAACCATTCCAACACGACTCGTGAATCCGACCAACAGTGAATTGATGCTGGTGGTTGTTGACTTGCGTCCAAAGTGTGTGAAATCAACCGAGCTAGTAATGTGGCCCCACACAATTCGAGCCGTGGCAATGATTGGACCTTTGTGGGGGCGACCTTTGTTTTTGCCGTGAGCAGCATGGGTTGGCGTCCTGGAATGACTACGTATAGAGCAGCTGCATACGCTCTCTGCGAAGCGTCGGCAAATCCGTGCAGTTGCCAGTCATCACTTTCCAGGGTGTTAAGCCATCGTGGAATCCGGATCCTCGGTATTTCTGCGAGTCCAGCTTGGAATTCAAACCAGCGGGAATGAAGTTGATCAGGAACAGGCGTATCCCAGTCGATGTGGTCCAGCCAAAGATCTTGCATGATTACTTTGGCCACGATAATCATGGGCGCCAACCAACCTAGAGGATCAAATAATCGAGCGACTTCAGACAATATCGACCTTTTGGTAACGCAAGTCGCTTGAGTTACTGTTGCTGTGAACGAAAAAACATCGTCCTTTGGAAGCCATTTAATACCAAGGGTAGATTTTACCTCGTTTTGATTCAATTCAACTTCAGTTGCAGAAGATGAATTCAAACCTGCTAGCAGATCCAAGGAATTTGCTGCCCACTTATCCAGGACCATGCCTGCTGATCCCAGAAGATTGATCAGTTGCTCGCGGCGGCGTACGGCTTCATTGATAGTGTCCGCTCCGCCGAAGAGGTCGTCAACGTAAAGTGTATGACGAAGAATTGAAGCACCTTCCGGATAGTCCAGTGAACCGTCAGTTGCAATTTGCTTCATAACCCGAAGAGCCAGAAAGGGAGCAGACGAAGTACCGTACGTCACCGTGATGCATCTGTAATCCTGAATTGGCTTGCTAGTGTTGTCTCGCCAAAGTATTCGTTGCCAGTCAGCGTCATCCTGATGAACCTTTATCTGGCGAAACATCTTAATAACATCAGTAGTAAAGGCGAATCTAAATCGACGCCAAAGAGATAAAACTATTGAGATGTCTGCTTGAAGCTTAGGTCCTGACAAAAGCATATCATTTAGTGATAGACCATTTTGCGATTTCTGCGATGCGTTGAAGACTACGCGTATTTTCGCAGGGTTTTCAGGTCTCACCACCGCATGGTGAGGCAAATAAAATCCAGGATTGAGCACCTGATGAGAAGGAACGGGCTCCATGTGATTTAACTCCAGGTATTCAAGCATGAAGGCTTGATAACGCTCGGCGAGTTGCATATCACGCTGCAATCGCTTCTCAGATCTACGCAAACATGCAGCCGCGACATCTCGAGAACCGGAAAACTTGGGTTGCTTTGCGAAAGGCAATCGGACTACAAAGCGTCCGTTCTGTTCGCGATAATGTGTGTCGACAAAGTGTTGTTCACAACGCTGTTCGTCAGGAGTCAAAAGTGCCTTGCGCGGAATTTCTTCGATCTCCCAGAACTGCGTGAGTTGCTGTGAAAGCGAGGGCTCAGTCGTTAAATGAAATACACGAACTGGCTTTTGGTTGTAAGTGTTGATGGGTGAAATGGCTCCGGTAAGCAGCCAGCCGAAGACAGACTGCTGAGCACACGGAGTACCCATTGGTCCTCTACGCATGCCTTCAAGCATAAGGATAGGGTATATGTCTGCACCAAGTATGCAATCAACCTTCGCGGGTTCCGAAAATTGAGGGTCTGCTAGAATTAAACCACGAAGATGGGGCCAATTCCCTGACACGACCCTGTCTTTGGGCAGACAACGAGTTAGTTCATTTAGCACAAGCGCGGAAAAACCCATAGCGAAGCTTTTGTCGGTACTTGATTGTAAAATACCGTGAGCTATGGTCTTGCAAGTTGATGTCTTTTCGGAACCGACGCCTATCACCGAGATTGAAGTCTTTTCCGAATCAAGCTTAAGCTGTTGCACTACCCGTTGCGATATAAAGCATCGTTCGGCACAAGGATCGATCAGGGCCCGAACAGTCAGCTTCTTACCTAACGCGTTTGATATCAAGATTTTAGCCGTAGCAAGAAGCACTGAGGCTCCAACCGACGCACTGTGTGATGCGACATGACTGTACGATTCGTCAGAGTTTGCAGAGGTACCGGTAGGCTGGGACCCGTTATCAGCGAACGAATTACCTATCCGATAGCCTGAGCCTTTGTTCTGTGAATTGTCTTCTGAGTGCAATTTCGTATGATGCGCGAGTTGACATTTGAAACAACGGTTAGATGACGGACATTTAGAGGCCTTATGTCCTTTTCTTAAACAATTGAGACAAAGCTTCGAACCCTTACAAAAATCCAAACGCTGAGACTGCGACTTTGCATTAAAATGGCTACAACGATGTAACCAATGAGGACCTTTGCATAAGTCACACAAGGGACTCGATTTAGGTTCAGATTGATCCACCGTTTGCGCGTTATTCACGGTAACTTTATTCGATTTGCGAGGTGTCGAGTTACTTGATTGCTTGCTTGAAGACTCACATTTGTCTACATAAGAATGCGCTTGTTCTAGCGTTTGAATACGCTTCTCCAAAAAATTGATTAACGCCTTAAATGTTGAAAAACCGTCCACGTTCGACTGGGACGCTTCCCAAGCTTCGCGAGAGCCAGCATCGAGCTTACGGACAACACAGTGAACAATCCAATTGTCGTAATGTTCGACTGGGCAGTTTAAGTCGCGAAGAGCTCGAACAGATTCTTCGGTAGTATCGATTAACTCATTAAGGTCTTGTGCGCTGCGAGCTTTGTTTGAAGATAACTGAAGCAAGCTTTCGAGTGTTGAAAAGAGTCGGATACGTGGGTTGTCATAACGGCGCACAAGTTTTTCCCAAGCAACATCAAAATTCGCGTCGATAACGTCAAGACCTTTGAGACGATGTGCAGCTTGACCATGTACTGCATTTAATAAATGCTGCAATTTTTCTACTCGGGAGATATTTGATTTGTCTTTTACAAGAGAACAAAATCGCTGCTTAAAGCTTTCCCATTCACCCTGCTTACCGGAAAACGTGGGCAATGCAATAGGAGGAAGTGCAACGTGAGGCGCAGAATTAGTGATATTCTGCACTATTGAAGTCGGTGCTGGCAAATCTTGACTCGGCGCGGGAGGTTGGAGTTCGGTAATCTTATCGCGTATCCGACCCATTGCGATTGCAAATTCAGCTTCGCAAGTCGTATAAAAATCGTCTTTGAAGTAGGCAAGTTCCGCGTTAGCATCTTCCTCAATGATCAACTTATCGTGATTTGCAGTGTATTTGGCCCAGTAACTAGCTATCAACTCTAGTCGAGCTTTATAATAACTAACAGTCCGACTTTCTAATGTGGCCTTTTCAACGGTATTAGTATAAAAATTGCAAATGTAGCTTTGCAGCTTCAATTGTGCTTTGAACAATTCTTTCATGGTGTGTGGAGTAATCAATAACGAAGACAACTAATGCAAAGTTACGCTACTTAATAGCAAACAAAAATAAGATAAAACACAAACAGCTTGAAATACAGCTGCTGTATGAGCAACGAAAAACAATAACAGCGACGACTGCTCTTACCGTCTCTGTTGCCGCACCCTTCCCCGGTGCTCTACCTCATCCAAAGCGCCGATGAACTGGTAGGCCAACGAGAGTAGAGCCGAGCGGGGCGATGAAATCGGTGTGGAAGTGGAAGGTACTCAATTGCGCTGCGAACATCCGCACAAAGAAGAAACGCCGATAGCGTTCGTCGCTCTCCTCCTGCTAGTCGTCTTGTCCCTCTCTTAGAGACGATTTTCAAAATAAGTCGATGTTGTGAAGTGACGTCACTTGACCTTAAAGAAAATTTTAACGAGGAATTTGTTTCTCGGAAGCCGGGCAACCACGCTCTGCTACCATGTTTATTTTTTGACTTTTAAACCTTTTCTGCTTTCGTGACCTGAAGATACGAAGGTCACGAAATGAGCAGAAATGTTTTTTAATGCTCGAAAATTTAAATGCGCATTTAAATTTTCTCCCTGGATAATAATGCTCCAGTTCCGAGAAATCTCCTTTCTTTCTTTATATGGGATTGGCAAGAGATTAACAACCAAAAATCGACTATTAAGTAATGATAATTTGTATTTAACAAAATAATATACAAAATGTAAGTTGACCAAGAGTTCGCTACGAGGAAACACGAATCTCAGTACGTGGTATAAAGGACGAAGCTCGAGACGACGATGTAGCAAGTCGTTCGAGAAGACCTTGGACTTAATCATAAGCAAGAAAGACTTTAAAGGGGCTCAGCTCGAGACGACGATGAAGCTAGTCGAACGAGCTGGCCTCCAAGAATCAGGCTGATCCTGTTATCCTTTTAATTCGTTAACAAATCACCTCTACTCAGAGAAGACGTGCGCTATACCTTAGGCGACTAGTTAGCGACGATGAGAAGGCTGCCCTGATCCTGTCACAATGGTTGCGAGTTTAGCCATAGAAAAGCTGCAGCGACTTTAAATATCAAGCTCGACTACGCGGGAGCGACTTGATACTTGAAAGGTCCGCGTGCTAGTAGAAGGAGCTCAGCCGAATACGCGAGCTCGCCAGCAAAGATACTCGGCGCTCGAGGCCGGAGAGGGAGAGGAAGCACCCACACCTGCGGGTATTGTACTAATTACCCGAGTCAACGACCAAGTGTGTGTGCTCCCACTACTCCAGGCTCCCATCTCCTCGCGCCTACATTAGAACGCGTTAACTACACTGATCCCGACAGCCTTCTCTCACAATATTCACTCTTAAGTGAACAAGAGTATTTAAACACGTTTTAAGAACTAGTCATTATATTTAACAGGCTAAATGTTTAATTAAAAACTTAGTAATTTGATATTATTTATAGGCTAGGCATAGTCAACAAAGCATTAGATACACTGTTCTTTGAGTCAACTGTGAGGAAAAAAGAAAAAATAGACCTGCACAGAGCAAAGAACCAAACATGAGAGGGCCCGAAAGGAAATAGTGTTTCTATATTAAAAATTACTTTAAAATGAAGTTCAGAGCTATACTACATGGATCAATGGATTTATTTCAAGTGAAGAACTCAATCAATGTGAGAAAAAAAGAAGATTGAGTAAAAATAAGGTGTGGAAATAAACATTTGTAATAGTAGAATAATAATAATAGATGTACCATACGATATATATTGCTTTTTTTATTAACTAATATTTTTATACTAACTGTTTGTATGAATAAATAAGCTTGTAAAAGCTGTATAAAAATAAAAATAGAACAATTAATGCAAAAATCCAAAAAACGTTAGACAAATTCCTTAACCGATTGATCATTTTGACGGCAGAGATAGTGCATTTGTATTTTTCCAAAAAAATAAAAAAAATTGTTTGCTTACACTTTAAGACAACACGGGGAGTGACAGTTTATTAGAATTAAATAGTAAAGGAGAGTAAGAGTTTATAACATATAAACCTTGAAGAGAACCACAAATAAGTTTTGATTGAAAATGACGTGTAAAAATTTTTATTTTTAACTAGAAGGACGTATGTTCAAAAAAAAACTTATTTCATCAATTTGGACAATAATGAGACTTCTAAGTTAAATTCATTACAAAAAATCTGACAATTTTTAGTACACGTGTACATGTAAGAAAAATAAGAAAAAAATAGGACAAAATAATTGAATCAGTTAAATACGAAAGGAAGACTAAGGGCTTATTTGAGTAAAAAATACGTAAAGACCGAAATTTACAGTTAGCAATACTTCCCTTTTTTTTGGAACCTTTACCTTATACAGACTCACCAAATCAGTCTGATTTTTCCTTGGTGAGTAAAGAATAAGACGGTAAAAATTTTAATCATGCATTTTTTGACTCACGTTATCATAGTAAAATTTTAAAAATAAGTAATATAAAAAATTGAAGCAGTCTTACTTAAAGCAGCATATACAAAACGCAAATTCCTTGAGAACTACCACTTTAGATCCCTTGTAATGGTGCAAATATACTGCCATTTTAGAAAACAAATAACTGAGACATCACCTAACCAGATATCTGCAAAAGTAAGCCCGTTGTACAATAACAGATAGCATCCTTGAAACAGCAATCGAAATCGTAGACACATTGTGTGAATGAGGGTACTTAAATTTAACATTATTTTTAAATAGGAAAAAGACAGTTGGATTGACAGGGTGTCATGCTCTCCAAAACAAACATAATATATTTTCAATAAAAATGTATGTAAGGTCACACTTCAACAAGTTAGTGCTTGAATCAAATACTAAGAATCTTAGAATTTTGTGATAGCTTTCATTGTAATAAATGACATAAAAACTATTAAAGCAGTTAACTATTTGAATATTTTTAATTTAAGCTTATGGTTATATAGGTATAAATGTCACAGTCAAGCATCATAAATTTGCGGCAGTCAGACACAGAAAAAAGAATAAGCCATACAATAAAACATTAAAATACCTTTTCTAAAAAAACATTTGACAAAAAAAAACACTATTTGTATCATGATAGGAAATACGTCTCACGAAAAAGTCATTAAACTTAATAAATATAAGCAATACAGCTTGCCATAGACAATCTAATAAGACCATATGAAAGAATGTTGAAAAAATTGTATGAACCAAGAAAACAAATTATTGAATCACATCCTTGGTAGCGAAACGTTGCAACAAGAACCATAAGGACTTTGATTAAAAGAATCTCACGTAAATTAAAAAAGTTTAACGAGGCTATTACCGTCAGCACTATCAACGGAGGGTCTTATTTTCCGCTGTGTCGTGCACAACTGATAAGGCTGAGTGCCTCACGTTCTCAGTAAGCTTCCGCTTTACCTTAGATATCTTGGACTGTATTAATCATTTCTTCTCTCTGTCTACTTAAGTAGAAAGTTACTTTTAGGCACATGATTCAGCCCCAACTAAAAAAACACTTAATGCAACTTTGATCTAATACGTTCACTTCTACTGCAGACATAAAGAAAATGTATCGGTGATTTTAAGTGTATTCTGACAAGAGGCAATATCAGCGTAATTTCTAGAACCATCGAAAAAAAAGTGATCCATGAGCTGAACACAGTTACATCAGGAGTGACCTACACTTAATACCTGTTGATACAAACACTCTACCAGTTAGCTGATGTAAAGGACACGATTTTTTATGAGTGTCTAAAATCTGAAAACACCATTTGTATGATACCAATCTGTTAACATGGACAGATGGAGGGTTTTTAATAAAATTGTTTGTATTTGAAAGTGTGGAGAACTTAATATAAGACAATGGGCATCTAACCATCACCAAGCATTAAGTTTGCTAGAATAAAAAGCTTTTAAAAGTAGTTTTGCGGTCGAAATAGGTGCCATTTTAAAAACAATCGGAGGAACTTAAGATGTGTGAGGGGATACGTTTTTTTGCATTGTTACAGAAATTCAAATTTTATGTAAGATCACGAAGCTGCCTATCCCTTTCAGAATTACAAAGGTATCTAATTTCCGAGACTTCTTGGGGCTGTTAGTTCTGTATGCAAAAATACTTAGTCAGGACTGTTAAGAACATAAATGTGACAGGGATAAGTCGATACTGCAGAAATTCTACTGAAATTTGGAATAGATTTTAAATTAACTTTCTATACATACATGATTTTCAAATTGATAGAAGACTTTTCATAGACAAGCCTAAAAGAATTCAGTTACATCAATTGATTGATACAAGTCTATCAGGTTACGGTGCATATTTTTACTTGCGTTAAGTAGGCTGGTATCAAGATTGCCTTCTGTGTCTTGTGTGCGCAAAGTCTTAAGTAGCTCTGACTTAATTAAAAAAAGTCTTACTACTAGAGTTACATAGTGATCTGCTCCTGGTGAAATTGTTCCCGGAAATACATCCACCTCTTGATTTTTATAGCAAAAAAGCGTTTAAGTTGGATTCAGTAATCATATTGCATTAGCTTAAAAAGTAACTGGAAACTCGTCAAAGTCTCGCAGCAGACAGATATAGCTAGATTCTAGCGCTGTTTGTAATCCACAAATGTATGCATGTGCAAACAAAGGATAATCTGGCTGACGTACCAGATAAGTCAAGATTTGTTCAAGGTTAATTACCAGTGAGATTCTTAGAGGAGCGATTGTGTCTGAACGGGCCTGAGTGGCTGCAACAATCTGAAAGTGAATTGCCAAGAACCGTGTAAACGTTACCAAACAAATGTTAAGGTCTTACAAGTAAAACATGTCTTTCGTCAAATTTAGAGGCAGAAGTATTTTGGCGATTTTAGTCATATTCCAAGTAAGTCAGCGTAGTTATATTTTCTCTTTGTATGCGTCGTGCAAAGCAGTTTAAGAGGAAATCGGTGGGTTAACAGGGTATTAGGTGTTAAAATTTACTCTAGTAAAACCATGTGCAAAAAAAATTTGCATGTATTTATATTTAAGATGGTAAAAAGTA